ATAAATTTTTCTCCAAAAACAAAAGTGTAGAATTCAAATTAGTAGTGATTTTGTCACTAAAATTGAAGTATATACTACTATTATGCTATACAGGGTAATTTATGTATTTTTTTACAATTTCTAGCAAACAAAAATAATATTATTCGATAGTTTATACATTTAACAAGAATTCCTGTAAGTTTTATCCATAAATATTGTCTCAAAGTCAAAATATAGCAAAATTTGCAATATAGCAAAAAATTTTCTAACTTACAAATTTTCCCGCCATTAAGGTCCTGAGCGAACGGGAGTATAGCATGTCGCGCGCTGTCAGAGCTTACTGGTTAAGTTGATTCGATTTTTTTGGCTATCGTTTTCGGATTCGTGTTGTGTCTTAAATTGGTTTTGTTGTTTTAATTTAAAAAAATATTTAAAAGGAATATTTATTCCTTTTAGATATTTTGTATTTAATTTAAAAAAATATTTAAAAGGAAATTTAATTCCTTTTAGGTATTTTAACGTCTTTTTTATAAATAGGTTTTTGTTACTTCATTATGACTTGCAAACGTAAGTCCAGCCTTTCAAGAGTATCTTCTCAAAGACAAGCGAAATGATTAGCTCGATCGCTAGAATCTTTAGAAGATGCTGAACTGAGAAGGCAAGAACAAGCAGAGCGTCAGGCTGATTTTAGAGCATCTGAGACACCTTCTCAACGTCAGCAAAGACGTCTTGAAAAGACAGAGCGTCAGGCTATTTTAAGAGCTTCAGAAACACCTTCTTAAAATCAGGAAAGGCGTCTTGAACAGGCAGAGCGTCAAGCTCCTTTAAGAGCTTCTGAAACACCTTCTCAAAGTCAGCGAAGGCGTCTTGAACAGGCAGAGCGTCAAGCTACTTTAAGAGCTTCTGAAACACCTGCTCAAAATCAGCAAAGGCGTCTTGAACAGGCAAAGCGTCAAGCTACTTTAAGAGATACTAAAACACCTGCTCAAAGTCAGCAAAGGCTATTCGAACAAGCGGAACTTCAGGCCGCCTTAAGAGCCACGGAAACACCTGATGAAACTCAACACAGACTCTTTGAGCAAGCTGAACGTCAATCTACTATAAGGGCATCTGAAACACCAGAACAGACACAGGCGCGAAGAGATGCAAATGCACAGCTCCAAGCTGAACGCCGAAAAAATTTTCAAAGAAACAATTGGTCGATTTTTAATGATGCAGCATTCAATTATGATCCGTTGATTGATTACAAAAATCACAGGTTAGTTATTATCGGACTGATGGACAAGGCGTGTCGATTTTGCAGCGCTTTAAAATGGAAAGATGAGACCGCAGGCATGTGCTGTTCCAAAGGCAAAGTGTCTCTTCCGTTACTTGGGTAACCAGAAGAACTTTGAAAACTCTCTTTTTTTATGATGCTAATGAGTCACGGCGCATTTTAAACAGGATCCGGAAATATAACTCATGCTTTCAAATGACGTCCTTCGGAGTTGACCGGAAAATAATAATGCCGGGATTTTCGCCTACATTTACGGTGCAAGGGCAAATTTATCATAGAATAAGTTTACTTTTTCCAGCTGAAAACGAACATCATAAATTTTTACAAGTATATTTTATGGGTGACGAAAAAATTGAGGTAGACCGTCGCTGCCAATTTATCCAGGGAGTTGAGAGAGATACAGTGTTCAAAATTCAAAGATTCTTGCATGAACGTAACATTTTAGTCAAAACATTTAAAACTGCTATAGAAAACCTACCTGAAGAGGATTATAAAGTCGTCATTCACGCAAATCGGACCCATCGAGGAGAGCATAAAAGGCGCTACAATGCACCTTTGATAAACGAAATAGCAGCCGTAATTAGTGGTGATCAATTTTCTTCACGAGACATTGTTTTGCGAGCACGTGATGATACAACATTGCAACCGGTAGCCGATAAACAAAAGTTTTATGACGCTCTGCAATACCCATTGATTTATTGCAAAGGACAAGAGGGTTATCATTTTCAAATTCCTCTCATTAACCCGGTCACAAAGGAGCCTACTCCGAACAAAAAAGTATCATGTATGGATTTTTATGCGTATCATATGATGTTGCGAGAAAATGATTTTAACCTCTTAGCCCGGTGTAGACAATTATTTCATCAATTTTTGGTAGACAAGTATGTGAAGATAGAAAGTGAACGTCTCCAATATATATCTTTAAATTAAAAAAAGCTGCGCGTTGAGAATTATAAACATTTACAAGATGCAGTTTCTTGCGACGCCATTGTAAACCCCAGAGATTTAGGTAAAATGGTAATTCTGCCCTCATCATTCGTTGACAGTCCCCGCTACCTACATGAGTACACACGAGACGCATTCGACTATGTACGAACTTACGGAAGACCTGATCTTTTTGTTACTTTTACTTGCAATCCCACATGGAAAGAAATAACCGAGAAGCTAATGCCGGGGCAAAAAAGTACTGACAGAAAAGATTTAGTTGCTTAAAAATTAATGTATGTAATTAACAAAGGGAAAATTTTCGGAGAGGTGCAGTGCTTCATGTATTCAATTGAATGGCAAAAAAGAGGATTACCGTATGTCCAATTTCTAATATTGCTTAAAGAGAAGTTGCGGCCCAGCCAAATAGACGACATAATAAGCGCCGAGATTACGGATCCTGAGCAAGATAAAGAATTGTATGATACCATCTTCCGAAATATGATTCACGGTCCATGTGGAGCACGAAATTCAATATCGCCATGTATGAAAGAAAGAAAATGTACAAAGAAATTCCCTAAACAGCTATTAAAAGAAAGAGAGCACAATGGCAATGGCTACCATTTATACAGACGCATAGCTCCCGAAGATGGTGGCAGGAAAGATACAATCAAATCTCGCTCTGGAGCATTCGCAACCTTAGATAACAGCTGGATTGTCCCGTATTCGCCCATTCAAATTAAAATTGTTTTATGCCGCCATTTAAAATGTTTAATGCCCACATTAATGTAGAAGCATGTTGCTCTGTCCGTGCAATCAAGTTTATCTGTAAGTACATAAGGTGCATCAGGGTAAGATCGGACGGTTTTTCTGAAAACTAAAATGGTCACGGAATATTATTTTTTTTCTCGTCTCTATTTACTCTCTAATAATTCAATAATATCTAATAGTATGCAAATAAGCAAGGCTTTCGTTTTCTATTTGTGATGTTTTCGTAACCACAAGCATTGGAGTTTTATAAATGATCAAAGATAACCTGACTATTCAAAATATCGAGGGAAAGTTCGGACCTTGATGGGGTAAGACCGGACTACTTCCTAAAACCATCACTATAACAATAAGAGTAAGCTCTATAACAAGAAAACATTCGATCTTATCCAAGTAAAAACATATTGAAGGGTTTTCTAAAAATTCCTTCAAAATCGAGTACTAGTAAAGGTTTTAACATGTATATATGTATTTACGTCCGATCTTACCCCCGCATAGGCAAATTCAGAGGTTTTATGTTTCTCAAACTTTTTACTTGCCAAAGTGCTCATTAAATTCGTATGATATCTATTTATTATGTAAGGTATAACTTAACTTGCTGCTCAATTTCTCATTTAGCTGATTCTACTACCAATACTTAACTTCGTACTTATTTGTTATTATATACTTATGAATTAATTATTAATATATTTTTAATATTTAGATGAAAGTCAGTTCTTTGAGATTGAAGATATTAAAAGAATATTTCATAATAGATAAACGACATTTATTAATTTCAAATAGAACAAGCGTTAAAGTAGGTATTGACGTAGCTATCTTCTAAGCACACATAATTAAATATTATCCAAATTATTGATATATGCAGTCTTTTGATACTAGTCATGTTAACAGGTTAAAAAAATTAATAAGTTTCATCTTAATGAAACTTGCAATTTCACTAATCTTTGACTATAAAAAAATAATATTAATTTTATTAAATACCTGTTTATATGTTTCAGGGTGGCTCACACAATTAAATTTTCATGGTTTAATTAAAATGTGATTCGAGAGTAAAATTGTACCTCCTTTAGGTATTGTTATTTATTTAAGTTACATCCAATTTACGTCCCACTGATGAGCACAGGCCTCCTCTCATTTCTGAGAGGGATTTTAGTGTAAGGAAATGTTGCGCCTTTAGATATTCATTTACTCATTAAGAATCATGAAAATAATCGAAATGGCTGAAATGCTTGCTAAAGTGTTGAAAGTGGTTCCAATCATATTTGTAACCAATCAAAACTTTCAGAGCCACATCGATTGTACGATTAAAAACATTGCTGCCATATTCGCGTATTTTTATCAACGGGAACTAAATGAGCTGAAATTTGCAAAAATAATGCTTAAGAAAATTTGAATTTCGTGGGTGACCCTGGAACATTTACAAAAATATAAAAACAACCAAATATACCATGAAAACATTCAGAACAAAAACATAGCATCACTTATTTATATTTGGTATCGGGTATGTAACGTTCGTAAATAAACTTACATTTTTAAACATTTGTATTTTTAATAAAGTTATTATAAAATCAATATGTTTCTCTATAAGTAAATTATTTTTAGCAAAAAGTATTCATTACATTGCGACAAGGGTTATAATGAACGTGAGTGAAGGCACTAGCAGTAATACACATTCACAACAAATTGAGTTTCAACCTTTCCCAACCAACACAGCTTTGTTTTTTCGGCCACATTCATTATTTTTTTTAGGTGCACTGTACCTAGTGAAATATTTTAGAAATAAATCTCGTCACTGTCGTTCATTAGCACATACTCATCGGGGTCTTCATTTATCTGAAGCAGTTCAATTTCTTTAACGATTGAAACTTCAGGTACGTAGTCTTGATCTTTTCGTTTAGGAACAACAAATTTAACATTTCCTTTTCTGCCGATAGTTTTGTAATAATTTATAGTGTATTTTTTTGTAGCCAAATAAGCATTTTCAATCACACCAACATAGTATTTCCAAGATTTAGTATAATAACGCGTTAAGACGGTATCCCCAGTTTTGTACTCATTCTTCTTCACTTTTTTTATCATTTTCACAAAGCAAGCTTTCGTATTCTCTTACCTTGCTTTCGAAGTCGTCTGTCTGTGATGTACCCACCTTATTTTGTCGTTTTTCGGTTTTGTTCTTCATGTCATATGCTGTTTTATTTGAAGATTCAAATTTTACACTAATCTGTGGTTTTTTGATTTTGATTAACTCCTTATCATTACTCTTTACTTTCATTGCAGGAGTTCTTAATCTTTTCACTGGCGTGTTTTCTTTATCTAAAGATTCTCCTTGTAAATCTTTACGCTTTAGGTTCGAACTTAAATTAAACTGTTTATCCACAGGTTCAAGTTTTAAGGTTGCACAAGTTTTTAAACCAATGAAAGGTCGATTTTCAGGTGTGAATCGAACTGATGACAGAACAGTGACTTTATTATTATTAAGTTCTGTATATTTTGTCTCATCACTTAATTTTTTTTCTTTTTGTGGATTATCATTCATCTTCAGATCGTTATTTATGCTTCTTTGTGTTCTATCATTTCTCGTTGAATGCTTCTTTTTTTGGCCGTTTTCAGTGTCTGTCAATTCCATTATATCATCAATCTGTAATGCTTTTATTATGTCAATGTCTGATGTCTTTAATAAATCTAGATCAGTGTTTTTTCTTTGGTTTTCATCATCTATGTCCGACCAATCAGACATGACAAATTTAGAATTATCGCTTAATATGCCTTGTAAATCAGAATCACTGTGTGAGCTCATTTCACAGCTTTCAGACGTCGTGCTTAAAGACCTCTGCAAGTTTTTGGCTTGTCTTTTTAAAGGTTTTCTTTTTTGTTTGAGAATACCTTTCTTCAAACAACCTTCAGTCTTAATATTGATTCGTTGAGTTGGAGAGTTCTCGTTTGGTATAATTTGTTTATTGTAAAGATCTAAGACTTCTGTAGATGCGTTATTTGTTAAACATTTTTTATTTACTCCTTTTTTCATCCCAGATTTTGACTTCGTGTTTTTGCTGTTTTTTTCTTTTTTATTCTTTGTAACATTCTTAGGCTTATTATTTTTTACCTTAATCGAACACTTTTCTTTTGATATTCCCGATGGTCCAGTTTCTTGATGATCATCAATGTGTACATGGGAGTTTGATTCTGAATTTTGAATTTGTGGTTCTTTTTCTACTGTGATCTGATTTTTTACGTTTTTTTCTCCAAATATGTGTGTGTTATAACTTCCGCTCCTTTTGCTATACGTTTCATTTTGACTCTTGAGTTTTGTGGTTTTTGCGTAACCTTTTTTAAAAGCAGTTCCTCAAAAGAAATACCGTAATTCACCGACTCTGCACGATTTTCAGCGCTAACGTGAATAATGTCCTGAAGTTTACGATCAATCTTCATTTCTTTGTTTAAGACGTCTATACATGACTGATTCAGCGATTTGAGTTTTGCTAAATTTCTTTGCCCACCTTTATATATCATTTCATTTTGCCATCTTTTATAAGCCGCTGGGTCATATTTTTCTTTTGGTATAACATTTGGGTCAAACGGGTAAATACCTCCTTTCATAAAGCCATTTTGAATCACTTTTGGTGTTGTTTGACTCCATGCTTGTGCAAACATTTCAGCAAACTCTTTCTTACGTATTTTAAATCCGACATTTTGGCGTTGCCATTCCACAAGTTTTTTGTCCCAAATACTTTTAAATGACTTGAAGACCGCTAAGTCTAAAGGTTGTAGCAAGTGAGATATATGAGCAGGCAGTTTTAATATGGTTATGTTGTTTTCTGCTGCTAATGCTACGACTCGTTCGTCAACGTGGGTGCTATGACCATCGTAAATTAAGAGCACTGGTCTTTCTTCTCCTAAACTTGGAATTATGACCATGTAATTATAAAATATTTCGGTCTCCATCCAACCGCGTTTGCTAGAAGAATAAGCAACTTCAAAATCATATTCTTCATTTTGATCTGCCATCCATTGGTCATATACGTAGCTCCCTTTAAATACAATTAAAGGATTCAATTTGATGCCAACCGCGTTGACAGTCGTTAACACGGTAATATTTTCTTTTGCAGATCCAGCCGTTGTCCTTGTGCATGGTGCACCTACTGCGCCAACAACTTTCGTTTTTGTTGGATCTAAACATACAGAGGTCTCGTCTAAATTCCAAATCCTATGCGGGTCGTTTAGGTTCAACTTCTCAAGGGTGCTTCCTAGTAAAGTGAAATACTCGTGTATTACAAAAGGATCTGTCATGCGTTTTCGGAGGTACTCTATTGGTTGAGGTTTTTTAATGGATAGCTTGTGCCGCTTTCGGAACGAAAGAAACCAATCGTTCCCTGGTATATCATTTATGAATGGAGTTTTTATTTTATTTCTCTTTATAAACTTTGACACTATGTCAATCACTTCAGATTTAGATAAGCCCCAACCCCATTTTTTCCATTCTACGTAGACCTGATGCTAGTTTGGTTTCCATATCTAAAAGTATAGCAGGTGATCTTCCTAGGGTACGACTTTTTAAACCTGTTTTACCATTAACTCGATCACTAAGGGTAGATGCTGGAATCCCGTAAAGTTTTGATGCAGCATAGTTAGTTAGTTCTTTTTTTCTTACTTTTTCTACAGCAGTTTCCAAGTCTTTTTGCGAGTACGCAATTGCTCTTTGTGATGTTCGGCTGTAGTTTTTAGGCATGGCGAATCTGTAAAAAATAAAAATTTTGTTGCAAAATATTTTTATTTCGGAAACTTTTGGGAAGACTGGTGGGAAGCAGCATGTGACCGAAAAAATTGGAGGAATTTTGTACCTATTTAAAAATTATTTTCATGTATTGTGTTTATATTTTAATTTTAATATATATGAGTATTAAATAGTCATCTCTGTGTTTTAATTTACTGACCGTGTATATGTAACTGATCTCCTTCAAATGGCTTTGAATTTTTGTGTGTGTTGTTGTGAAATTAAGTTAATTCAAGAATGGTTAAGATTCACAATTGGGCCCAGTAGGTGGCGCTGTTGTTGAAATCCAGAAATCACCCGCGTGAAACCAGGGTGGATCCCTGGTATTTAAATAACTTTGCAAGCTCTTTGCTAATGTCGTCACAAAGCAGTCATAATTTCGATGTCTTGTCTTTCCCTTACCAGCGTAACTAACTATTAAACAATAAATATTGAATGTTGGTGTTATATTATTACTGTCCTTTTACATCAAAATTTTAGGTCTCCTTTTCGATAATTATCAGCAAAACTGAAAATTTGGTAATAAATAACTACCCATTAGAAAAAAATATTAACAACAGTTGCTCAAAATAGTCCTACCGAGTAAATAAAAATATAAAAGCAATGCCCAAAAAAAAAAACTATAAGTGCATATATCGAATTAGAGGGACCTTGCCCAGTAGTGTAAAATATAGATTAAAAAAGTTTGAGAAGCACTTTAACGGTATAGACCGAATTTTTTTAGTCCGATCTTTACCTATTGATATTTTCGAGGGGTAAGATCGGATTTCGGCCCGCAAACGTCTTCAGCGTGATTTCAATAATCTAATTAAACCGTCATATAACGCTCATTAATAAACAATTACGAAACTAGTAAAAAAATTAAAACTACTTACCAAATTGTCTGTGAAAATTCCTTGGGGTAAGATCGGATCTTCTCAAAAAGCACGTCTAGTCTATAACTTCACTTAGATCATTAAAACACCCGTCCGGCTTGGCGTAGCGCTAGACGCAGACTAATGGGACGGGCACAACAAAATGGCGCGTAACGCTACGTTGTCAACAGTTAAAAATATTGCCAAATGCAGCGGTAATATAATTCCTACGATCTTAGCCCTTGTACGATCTTACCCTGATGCACCTTAAATAAAGGAAGCGACCAAGCAATATTTAATTTTAGGAGTGAAGGTGAGGCAAATCCCATTAATGAAGTACAGACCTTTCAAGCAGGGCATTATGTTAACAGTAACGAGGCAGCGTGGCGTCTCCTTGGCTTCCCTTTACACGAAAGGCACTCAACCTTGTTGTGCACTTAGAAAATGGAGAGCGTGGATATTGCACCGAAAGAAATTTCCAAGAAAGAATTGCATCACTTCCAAAAACTACACTAACAGCCTTCTTTCAACTTTGTCAAACCGACCCTTTTGCAAAAACGTTGTTATATTCTGAAGTCCCCCGCTATTATACTACATCTTGGAAGGAGTGGAAACGCCGTATTCAAGGCGCGTCTGTTGCAAATTGGCCCGGTGTAAAGTCATCAGATGCCCGTGGTCGTGTGTATACCGTCCATGTAACTAACTTTAAATGTTTCTGTTTACGATTGCTCCTGCACCATGTTTGGGGTCCTACAGGATATAAAGACCTTAAAACTGTCAACGGTCAAGAATACGCAACTTATACAGAAGCATGTAAAGCTCTGCATCTTTTGGAAAACGATAATCACTGGGATGAAACCATGGAGGAAGCTGTGCGGTGCCAGTCACCAGCCAAAATTAGGGATCTTTATGCAACTATCATATCATCTTGCGGGCTATCTAATGCACATGATTTGTGGGACAAATATAAAGAGTACATGGCGGAAGATATTTTCCGAAGGTTACAGCAGATACACGCGAACATGACATACAATGAACACATTTATAATGAAGCACTTGGAAAAAAAAATTAAGCGACTTTGGAATGATAATCCCTCAGCGAACAACCGAAAACGAAATAAGTGATAAAATTATACGTGAAACAAACTACGATATACCAGTTTTACAGAAGCAAGTAGCCGAATTTATACCCCGCTTGCTTCCCGAACAAAAACGAGTTTTTGACAAAGTATGAGAACAAATTGAATCTGGAAATGGTGCACTTTTCTTTTTAGATTCCCCTGGAGAAACTATGAAGATATTTTTATTAAATTTATTATTAGCGCAAGTACGGAAAGATAAAAACATAGTTGTGGCCGTAGCATCCTCCGGTATAGCCGCCACGCTGCTAAGCGGGGGCCGCACTGCACATTCTGTTTTAAAACTCCCTCTAAATCTATCCCAGAAAGAATCGCCGATCTGCAACTTTAGCAAAAGTAGTGCACGAGGTATAATGCTACGACAATGCAAACTTTTAGTGTAAGACGAAAGTACAATGTCGCATAAAAAAGCCGTAGAAGCAATAAATTGATCGTTCTAGGATTTGCGCAGCAATACCAATGTAATGGGAGGAATGGTGGTTTTACTGGCTGGTGACTTTTGCCAAACTTTACCTGTCATTCAAAAGGGCACACCTGCAGATGAATTTAAGCATGCCTCAAGTCGTCTATTTTATGGAACAAGGTGACAAAATTCAGTTTAACTACGAATATGAGAGTGCATTTGTATAATGATATCAATGCTGGAAACTATTCTGACACACTAATAAAAATTGGCGATGGGCGATGAATTAATTGCGAGCGTTTATTCAGATTTAACGAACAACATGCATGAAGACAAATGGTTATGTGAAAGGGCGATTCTTGCACCAAAAATGAGAGCGTTAACAAAATAAATTCAGATATATTAAGCGAAGTAACAGGAGAAATTACAGAGTATTTTTCAGTAGACACAGTTATTGACACAGAACAGAGCACTTCATATCCCGTAGAGTTTCTAAATTCTCTAGAGTTGTCAGGTGTGTCACATAAGCTTCAATTAAAATTAGGCGTCCCAGTCATGCTAATGCGAAATTTAGATGCTCCTCGGTTATGTAACGGGACAAGGCTGCGTGTGACACATCTTGTACAGAACATAATCGGTGCTACAATTTTGACAGGTGTAGGAAAAGGTGAAAATGTTATTATACCACAAATCCCTATAATTCCCACAGATCTTCCTTTTCAATTCAAAAGGTTGCAGTTCCATATTAAGCTCAGTTTTGCAATGACAATTAATAAAGCGCAAGGGCAAACGTTACAGGTAGCGGTGCTCAACTTAGAAAAACCATGCTTCTCTCATGGTCAGCTGTATGTAGCATTTTCGCGTGTGTCAAATAACCAGAATCTCCACATTCTTTCCCCAAATAGAAAAACATATAACGTTAAGTTTTAAAATAGTGTTCAGTTAGTTTTTTTTTTCCGAAATTCCCACAATCAATTAATCAGAATTCCCACAGATCTTCTCTTTTAATTCAAAATTTCCCATTTAGCTCAGTTTCTTTTCAATTCCAAATGTTGCACTTCTGACGGACCTATTAAGCTCAGTTTCCTTTCAACTCAAAAGGCTGCATCTCTGACGGTTCTTTTATTTGGCTCAGTTTCCTTTCAATTCAGAAAACTGCATCTCTGACGAATCAATTTAGCTCAGTTTCTTTTTTAAAAGTCTGCATCCCTGACGGATAATTATGCTCAGTTTCCCTTAATTCAAAAAACATCCCATTTGCATTTGGAATAAATAGGCTATTTTCATGCTTTCCTATACGCTGCGTTTCAAAACATTTAAATAGGCTGACGAATCAATTTTGCTCAGTTTCCTTTTAATGGCTGCATCTCTGACAAATCTATAAAACGCAGTTTTCTTTCAATTCAAAAAGCAATGGATAGTTCATTTCCTAGTGACCATGCGGGAGAAGTCGCGGGTAACAGCTAGTTACATATGAATGATATTAACACGCACCGGTTGTACACGCGATTTTCATGTTTTAAAGAATACGTGACGAGAAGATGAGTCATAATCTACGAAACGATGTCCAGCCGAGTAGGATTCGTTGATTACCTTCTTGTTTGAAGTTGGATTAACTTAGGACTTGCGCAGATGACTACTCTCCACAAACGACAAAAGTCAGCGAAGAGTGAAAAAAATTTCTGCCCGTTTTCTTCCTTGATTCAACGTACAAAGTGATCATTGTTGTTTGTGAAGCAAACACCATGAGAGCAAATATACTGAAAATATGTTGTGTTGAATTTTACTTAAAGTTAAAGAAAAAAAAGTAGACGTTTTCAAACACATTGTTCTACCCTTTATTCGCTCAACTTGAGCAAACTAAATCCGGTGTGTGCGTTGACACATTGGGGATGCTCACGTACATACATATGTATTTCAGTGCGGTCCAGTCTGTGACTTTTTTGCGGTACGATTCCTCGTGTACGTTAAGCGATGCTCTTTTGAGTAATCTATTAAGGGACAAAAAGAAAAAGTATTCCATAAACTGTCTCTTGTTTGCCTTAATCAGAAAATTTGTCTTAGATAAATATATTTCTATTATAGAATATAAATAAAATTATACAAAATGATCAATTACAATCATTGAAGTAATATGTACTTTCGTACTAGAACAGCTATCTCAAACAAAAAATGTGCGCTACTCTGTGTTCGCGCGGTTGTTTTTTTGTATCATAGAATAAACATAGGTATAATGACAGTAGGTAATAGTAGATTAAATTGTTAAATAGGTAAATTATATAGAGAACAATTTTCAAATTTTGTCATTTATTCGTATATTATATTTGCTTATTTAATATAATATTACATATTATTTTATCACAATTACATTTTAATGATATTTTCATCTGAATATTTAAAAAGTATATTTGTCAAATATAAAAAACATACTAAATGTATGTTCAATAAAACTTAATATAACATTTAAATTGCAAATTTATTTATTTAAATTAGAATAAGAGTCGTTCATAAATGCTGGGCACGCGAGAGTTAAAAATGAACGAATTTATTCCACTTTGA